TTTGTATTATTGATTTGTATAATACATATAACAATACTCGAATATTCTGTGTGATATAACTTTTATCTTTATCATTATAAATATATGTATATTTTGAAGTATAATTTTATTTATTAAATATAAATGTATATGTCCAATTTTTTGCATTTTTTTATTTTTATTTATTTTTTTTTAATTTAACACAGTTTTATTTGCAGTGCTGCTCGTGCCTAAGATGCTCACTAACACAACTGTATTAGCCAAAGTCAAGTGCTTGGTTGGCACGCAAGTTGAATTGAAACTTGTGTATGTGTGTGTGTGGCGTGTGCTCGAGTCCCACGTAAAAAAAGGCGAACCGTGTGCTAAGGCCAGTCATTAAAGCCTTCGAGTGCCCACGCAAAACCATTCAAAATTGCAGTTCGGGTCTAAGACTATTACAGGCGCCGCTGCTTGAGCTTCGAACTGTCGCTTAATAAGCGACGTTGCGACGAGGTCGTCCTTCGAGTGAGTCCTTCGTGCGGCTGGTGTTACGTTTGTTGGGTGCCATTTGCCAGGTTGAACTCTGAAGGCGTCGAAAAGGCCTAATTATCTTAATTAATGAGTGCGAAAGTGAAATTCGTGGAAGACAAATGTGCCGCGAATGCTTCTCGCTTCTCGACTGTCGGCTGTCGGCTGTCGGCAGTTCGTCCCGGCGGCAGTCACTCATTGGCGTGCACCGCAAGGACATTTGTGGCTGCCGTTTTAATTGTCTCGCTTTGTGAGGGTGAGTGTGCATGTGTGTGTGTGTGTTCCTTCGTGTATGTGAGAAGAGGGCGTGTGCGTGTGTATGTTTGCGGGTGATTTTCATTAATTTTGCTTCGTTTCTGTTCCTGCAAAAGATTTTGGTTTATGTGCTGCGGCAGTCTCTGCTGCTGCTCCTGCTGCTGCTGTTGGCTCGCGGTTTTCGGGTTTGCCGCAAAGCGAGGCGGGAAAAAGCACAGGCAATGGCTGTTGGCCGCGGGGCACCGACTGCAGGATGAGGCAGTAGATGACAATAACTTAACTGCAATCGGCTGGAACAGACTGTGCCATACTTAACCGAATAAAAGGGCTGTCAAAAATAACAGACACTTTAACTTGATCAAGATACCATAATATTATCAAAGTATTTCTTAATAATATATACATAATGTATCTCCCTAAAAAAATATATATAATATTTCATAGCAAAACCTATATGCTCTTTCACTTGCTAAACTATATAGAAGAAGAAGGCGCCATATAAACAGACAACGGGTCTTAAAAAAAATCTTTTGAGCCATGGCGCAGCTGAGCATGGGAAAGGCGTCTAGGCGCCTTCGGTGAAGAGGGGAAATATATACATCCATATATATATATAAATATATATATATCTATGAGCGAGCATGTGGATTCTTTGTGGACGGCAAGTGCAGAGCGTGATTTAAGTTAAGAGAAATGATAAATGTCCTGTGGAGCTCATGTGGAAGCTGTAAATAAAGTTCAGATTTCATGCAAGGGGCCGTCGTATGCATTAGATATGCCCACATGCTGTTATCAGTCTGTGGATGCCAAGTTCTGATTGCAAACCTTTAGTTCCGCTCGCGTTTCACTGCCAGAGTGTTTCATTCCGTTTGCGCAAACGCATTCCAGTGAGAGACAGAGCGAGCACGAGCGAGCGGGCTTCATTGGGTGTGGATTGTGGATGGTATTGTGGACTGCATGCTACAGTCGCAAACTAGAACAACATATTCAACGTTCACGCATTGTCTTTCACCCACTTTGCTTTTGCTTTCTCAGCTGCCCCGAGTGGGCGCGAGAGGGAGACAGAGAACATGGTGTTTGTTTCTCATTGCTTGCATTAGTTAACTATTTATTTATTTTTCTTGTGAATGAGGCTAAAGATGAGATTTAAAATATATATTAAATATTATTGTTTACACACTTCTGTTTCGTTTCAGTTGCTATTATAGAGTTTCCTGGCGCTTAGTATTACGAGTCTAGATTAGTTGAGTTCGAGTCATTTGTTCAGGCATTCAGGAGCAGTAGAGGAGCAGTCGAGCTCTACGCCGCTGTCGTCTGCTGTTGCTCCTGCGTGGTCGTCGTCGAGGCCACCGTGGTGGACTCGGGGTTCTTTTCGCTAATGGCCAGCCAGGGGCAGCGCTTTTGCAGCTCCATGCGGTATCTGGGATGGCTGATCGCATACACGAACGGGTCTACGCAGGCCACCATCTTGCACGTGCAGGCCGGTATCATGGTGACGCCCGGCGTCAGCAGGCTCTTGTCCCCGAAGGCGCCAATCAGCGACATTACGCCGTAGGGTGTCCACGACACGAAGAAGAGGAAGCAGATGGTGATGGCTGCCTTGGCGATGCGTATCTCGGCAGTCTCCTTGCTCTTGTCCACATTGGAGCGCAGCGACTCGACGTTCATCTTCTTGGCCTGGTCGCGCAGTGCCTTCTCGTGGCTGAACACGTGGCTCACAATCTGGCTGTAGTAGTACAGGATCATGGTGGTGGGGAGGCAGAAGCTGAAGAAGAAGATGGTCGCCACAAACATGCGCGTGTCGAAGTTGTCCGTCAGATAGTCGAAGGTGCACGAGGTCAGATAGCCCTCGGGCACATATCGACCCCACGACTCCGTGTAGCAGGCCACCACAAAGGGCGTGGCATACATGTAGATGAAGATGATCATGGCAATGGCCTTGCCATGCGTCATTTTGCCCTCCATGGGTCGAGTGATCACGTTGTAGCGATCGTAGGCGATAAACGCATTCGTCGCCCCAGCCCCGATGCCCGTGTAGGAGCCAATGATGCCATAGATCTGGCAGCCCAGGTTGCCCAGCGCAAAGCCCTGGTTAAAGCTGTTGTAGATGAAGATGGGCGTCTTGCTCATCATCAGGAAGTCGCAGATGGCCAGGTTGATCACCAGTATGTTGGAGGGCGTTCGCAGCGACTTGGCCGCCGAGAAGACCCAAATGACCAGCCCGTTGCCAATCAGCGACATGAGCGTGAAGAATATGTAGAGTGTGCCCAGCAGATAGTTCATGGACTCTGGCGGCTCTGGGTAAGTTAGCCAGTGCTCGGGTATGTGCCGCAGCTCGTCCGGCGGCACATTCCAGCCCAGCAAGCGCCCCTCCGCCGACAGACGCGCCTCCGGTCGCAGCGCAGTCGACACATTCCCGATGCCACTTATATTGTACTCCATGGCGCACAGTTGGGCGCCCAGCCGGCCTCTGTCGTTGCCCCAAGACGAAATCAGAGTGCGCTCTGCTCGCTGCTTTATATGCTCGCTGGCAATTGGATTAGCGCCATATCTGCATCAGCATTTGTGGATTACAGCGCGGATTCAACTAATCCCTTAGCCCACTTTGCTGAGTTAACTACTTTGCATTGATTTTCTATCTCTTTGCTTGGCCAGACGTTAATCTGCTGCCTTTACTTTTTTATTTGGTGAACTACACTAAATACATTTATTTCCAATTTATTTGAATATTTTTATTGTACCTAAATTTGTTCGCAATTTCGCAAAGGTAAGAGTCCGATTTGTTATTTTTATTTTACATGGAATATTTGTTGTAGTGTTGATTTGACGAAACAAAGCTCTACATATTTATTTTTAGCAAGCTGTTTTAATTGATAAAATGGGAAAAAGGACACTTGAAAATTCCAACAAGTATTACATTACATTTTTCTTTGATATTTAAAAATATATTTGCTCCGGCACCAACGACAAATGAATAGTTCGGTGCAGCAAAGTTGAAATGGGGAAGGAAAATCTGAAAGTGAAATAATTTCCATTCATTTATTTGGTGTTTACCAAATTCGGGAAAATAATTTATTTTGCAGAAATTCTTTGAATTGAATAAATAAATGTATTTTTGTTGTTGTTTATATTTTTCATATACTTTTTTTTTTTTTTGGTAAATTTCAGTGTAAACTTTGATACGGTTTATATTTAACGTATAAATTTAATATGAGAGAATTTCCCGTTTGAGCTGAACTTTATTATTTTTTCCAAAGAAAGCAGGAATTTGTTTTTCATTGATGTGAATCAAAGTTGAGCGTATTTATAGTCTGTGTAAAAAATTTATATTTTATTTTATGTATATGTATATGTATGTATTGTGTAACAAATATTTGATTATTTTTGTTACCCACAGTCTTGAATTTCGATTTTACAGTTGCTGGCTGACAACGAAAATGGAAGACAACATTGAATTTAAATATTGTTCAGGCACCTGCATCCACACCCACACACAGCTAGCTAAAAGCACACACATTTATGCGCATATGTACTCATGTATGTGGCTATCATTATTATGGGCGAACGTTCAGCTGCCACGCCCCTTATTAACTCATAAAACAAAAGTGTAGCATACTTTCGTGCGCTCCCAAGACACTGAGGCGCACAGAGGCAAACATACAGATGTGCAGATATGCGTGTGTGTGGGTATGTAATTATGAGACGCTGGTGTGTGCACCTACAATTTGGGTCATAAATCATATGGAAAAAGTCCACAAAGGCATGCAAATATTCCCCTGTAGCCCCGTTCGGTGGTGCCCACACACACACACATACGCACAGTTCATGCTTAAATTCATGTGTGGGTGCGCGTGTGTGCGCTCACATATGCCTACCAATATGCTGAAAGTACCTACAAAGATTGATTTCCCTTTGTTTGCCTTTTAGCGCTGCGATGCGCTCACCTCAATTCCCTACATCCAACCGCCCAACCACCCAACCACCCAACCACCCAGCTGCTGCCAACCACATCTAACCACAGTTAACCGCCTAGCCAGCCATCATGGCCCATAAAGCATACATTGAAAGCCGTGGGGGGCCATGAACATGGCTCTGTTAAAATAATAACTACGAGTATGTTAAACGAGTATTCAGTTGCTGGATTCGACTCCCGCGTTGAGGTTTCTTTTCCCTGTCCTTTTGTTTTTTGTTGGTGAGAGGGGGCAGGGTGAATGACTCCATTGGGAGCAAACACTTCCCAATGGAGCAGCCAAGTGCCGTGGCGGCTGCATTTCCAAGTAATTAAGTATAGCTGTTTGCGGCATGTGAAGCCCCCCGTGGCGTTCAGATGTTCCAGATGTTCCAACTTGATTAGAGCTTGCATAAATTGAACGTGTTTTCACCTCACTCACTCGCTCACTCGCTCATTCTCTATCTCTCTCTCTCTCTCTCTCTCTGGCTGTCTACATTGTTACTAATTGTCCTTGGTGTCTAAAGCACTGATTAAAGGATTTCATTAGACAACTGTGGAAACGGTGACAGCGACAATTGATAGCAAACGGAAATGGTTGCCAATGCAATACAAAGCGCTTCAAATCATTTCTCACCTGCACTAATTTCAATCAACCGCTATTAGAGAACGAGATTACCTTTTGTTGAGGCTAAATTATACATAAATACTCTGCTGACCAATTGCGTATTGCTGTTGGCTGTTTTATTTATTGTCGTTAATTTTGTATTCTATTTTCATTATTTCCCATTAGTTCCCATTCTGTTCGTGTTCTTTTCTTTTGTTGTTCTTGTTCTCCTCTTTTTTTTTTTTATATTTATCTTTATATTTATACAAAATTAAGTTTTTTCAATGTCCACTGGAAACTTGGCTAATCTAAATGCATTTTCAAGCCCATCTACATAAAAAGCAAATCGAAAAATCTTTTACAATTTCTAAGGCTGAAATATTACAGTTGGATCGTTTTAAAATTCCTTTAAAAATTAAGGAATAAAAATTTGTGTATGAATAAATTTAGTGGATTTTTCTTAAATAAAAATGAAGAAATATAAAAGCATTATACTCTGACTTGCCAATTTCAATGGGTTCAGTGTTTAAAAAATACAGAGAAGTTAACTTTGATGTTTCATAGTTATGAAATTCTTTGTTTTAACTAAAAAAAATCCCAAACAATTCCCTTGCTTTGCCTTGTGCTTAGATTTTGTTAATGCAATTTGAACATTTTAGTTTAGTTGAAATAGTTTTATTATTTGATAACTAAACAACGAAAAGTTGTTTAATAAATTCAATTTTGGCAGCTGTTGCAGTTCGCTTTTGTTCTTCTTGTGCCGCCAATTCCTTCTATATAGAGCTTAATTGCACAGCCAGGTGAAAGCCAACTCCGGCTGAAGGTAATTGTTTGTTGTTTCTATTGTTGTTGTTGTTGTTGCTGTTGTTATTGCTTTTGCTGTTGCAGCTGCGACCTAGTGCTGGTCGTTGGTGTTTGCTTGAACTTGTGTATTTGTATTCATTAACATTATTGTTGTTGGCACTGTTGTTGTTGTTGTGGTTGTTGTTGCTACTGCTGCTGCTGTTGTCTTTGTTGCTATGTTGCAACAACAATAAGCATGACTGCGCCTTGACTGCATAATATTGCATTTTATGCATTGCAGTAAGAGCAGCAAACACAACAGCAACAGCAACACATTCTCCAACAAGAACAACAGCAACAACAACAACAAAGGGAACATCAACGACTACAGCAAGCAGGCCCTAGGGTATAATTCCAATTTCAACACTTTACAAACACGCCACAGTTGCGTCATTAACTATAAACTTTGCATGCGAAACGCGTCTGCCAAAGCAAAGTTGTATTGGTGTCTATGCAACAGCGACTCTTTGAGCGTTTGCGTGTGTCTGTCTGCGTGTGTGTGTGTGTGTGTGAGTCTGTGTTTTGGGTGGCACTTAGTGCGCTCTCTGACGGAAATGGCCGGCAGCAGCATTGGCACAGACAGAGCTAAGAGTTCAACGCAACGTCAGGTGCAGCAGCAGCRGCTGCGACGGCAACAGCCATCAGCAGGAGCAGCAGGAACAGCAGGAGCAACAACAATGGCAACTTGCAGYTAGCAGGCAGGCAGCAACTGCAACATGGCCAGGACACTAGTTACCCTTCTGTTTGTTGTTTCATAAAACTTTATTGTTACATGTTTTGCAGTTTGTGCAATGCTTCAAGCCGAACATAAAATTATACCCATGCCTGTTCCTCGCACGGCCAACAGCTCGTAACAATCAACAAATAGCACTGACTGATACTGACGTTTAGCAACAACAGCAACAACTACAACTACAACGACAACAACAACAACAAGTACTGAAGTGGCGCTGCATGTGGCTTTTCTGCTTTTGTGATTGCACTTCCTTTGCTTTACAACCTTTTTCACACGTTGCTTGACAAACACAAGTCCAAAGCATTTTTATATCATTTTTATATTCATGCGCGCTTTGTCGCCATCAACTTTTATATCTGTCGTCATTTTAATTTTCATTCATGGCTTGCATCAAAGAAATCGTCGTTAATTGCATTGCATAAATATGAAACATAAACTTGTTTACTGAGTTTTTGCCTAATCAGTTTTCCGCTTTCCATTTTCCTGCAGATCTCTTATTTTTTATGAAATATTATTGCTAGAATTTTTTGAGATACATCAAAGACGAATATGAATAATTTAAATACTTTGATTTACTTTCCTTAAAACTAAATAACTAAACTAAATTATTTATTTATTTTTTTAATTTATTTAATTTATTTTTTTAATTTTTTATGCATATTGTTTGATATTTGATATCTTATTATTAACTTATTTCATATTTTATATAACTCAATAGTTATCTGAATTTCATAGTTTTTATGATACAGAATTGAATATATATTATAATATTTGTCTGATATATTAGAAAAATAAGTATTCAAACTTTTCCTTTCCCCTGATAATTTGAGCTAAACATAAAAGCAAAGAAGAAAGTAAAATTGGTTCTGGTTAAAGATGATTTTCTCAGAGCTAAATTGTTGTTTTAAAAATTGTCATTTAAAAATATTTCACAAAATGTGAATAAATTCAATTTATCAGCAATTATTTGTGGTCTGTTAAAAATTGCTTTATATTTTCTTCATTTAATCAACAAAATTCCGAAGTATCTGAGATATTAGTTTTCATTATGATTTCTATAACAATGGCAATTGAAAGCAATTCAGGAACTTTTAATGAAAACTCTCTTCAATGCTCTATTTCTCAGCAGGCTGTCTTAAATTCCACAAGACAAGTAAGTTTCGGCTACAGGTGCAGAGGTTGCAAGAATTTGCTCTTTTGCCTTGCTTGCAGTAATCATGGCTAGAACTTTATTGAATTCCAAGGCAGCAAAGTAAGCTGTGCGTGTGTGTATGTGTGTGCAGGTGTGCAAGTGTTGCCTGTTCCTGGCTGCACTCTGTGTTGCACTATTTTTCTTGCCACCCGCACACACGCCAAGCACATAGTTGCTCAGGCTTCGTGATATTTGCGCTGCTCTATCGTAAGAAAAACGTAGCGTTGGCAAATGCAAAAAACCGTTGCATACTTTGGGGCGAGGGTAGCCGCAAAGTGGATTCCTTTATCAACAGACGCCGACTTCCGGTTGGGGCAATCTCGATGCGGATATATTAAACTTATTTTTACAGCAACTCTCTGCTCTCTCACTCTCTTGTTCTCTCTCTTTCTCTTTCTCTCTCACTGTTGTGGCGACTCTGTAGGTCGCCTTTCAGCCGCTCATTACTTCATATATACTTGTATTACTTTCAGCTGCGCTTTTGCCATCTCCTTCGTCTTTGGCGGACTTCCTGGACTTTGGCATCAGTTCCGGCCCGTGGCGCAGATTTAGTGAGCGCGATAAACTTGCCACCCCCGGGCACTTTTCAACACTGGCAGACATAGCCTGGGCAGAGGACTCTGGGCGGGCTGCCATGGTAGGAATGTGAGCTTAATATTTCTCAACTTGAGGCGCTTGCCACTTCCGCACATGCTTTATAAGAAAGCATACACAAATACACACCCGACACCCACACACACACACACAGGCAGACAGAGTAAGGTTTTTCGTTTTATTGCTCAGCATTTTATTGCACAAATTTTAATATTTATTTTAGATGTTGGTTTATTCACTCTGCTCTCAGGCAATGCCAAACACGCCTCACTATGTGTGTGTTTTTGTATGTGTGTGTGTGTGTGTGTGTATGTGTAACATATGGAAGACGTACAGTTGCATATATTTTTCTATTGCCTGTGCAATGTTTAGTTGACTTTTTCTCTGAAAAGCAGCGACGCTCTAATGTCTGTCTAACAAACTTGAGTGGTGCGTTTCAAGGCAGCCAAACGAACGGAAATAGTTAAATAAATACATATATATGTACGTATATATTTATACATACACATATATATATGAATGTTTCCCTTAATGTCCTTTATTTTGTGAAAATTATTTGAAATTGTTAAACAAAAAAATACTTTTGCTGGAGATTATTTTTATCTCGTTTACCATGAGAAGAAATTATTTTAAAATTTATGTTGCATTTCTGACTAGTTTCCCACTTCAGTGCGTGTGCAATTGAAAAGTAAGAGAATTCTCACTCCATTAAATGGGAAACAGCTCAAAGATTTAGTGAATTATGTAACATTTTGCAACTTTAAATAGACAACAATTTGCACAGCGTTCAAATGGATATAATCCGATTATGATTATACAAATATTTACAAAGTGAATGTTTGCTATGCTAGTGTGTGCTCAAAATCTGAAACAAACGCCTTACAAATAACAAAAATAAAATAAAATAAATAAGAGTATTGCAAGTTGAATTTAAAATGCAGAATATGCTCACAATGATTGACAATTGCTTAAATTTTAAAGGAAGGCT